AGAATAAATATTTTTAAATTGTGCAATGAATATTAAGTAAGGAAGGACAAACTATTTTTCAAGTTTATAAATTTTCGGGGATGTTTTTTTTTTTTTTTTTTNAAAAAAAAAAAAAAAAAAAAAAAAAAAAAAAAAAAAAAAAAAAAAAAAAAAAAAAAAAAAAAAAAAAATAATGACTGCAAGTTAGTAGAACGTTTTTAGTTTTCTAGTAACTTTGATATTACTATATTTTTACTATGCTTTTCATTATAAATTAATATGAATCATAAATTATAACTATAGACAAAATCTAGTGAAAAAGCTTAAAACCTATGAAATTCAAATTTTTGTATTTTGTCTGAGAAGATTTTTTTTTTTTAAATATTTGAAATATTTTTTTTTTTTTTTTTAAAGAACATCAATTCGTTTTCTATAATAATATTTATCAAAATAACCCAAGACATATTCTACTTAAGCGTAAAAATAGTTGATCATTTTTTAGTTAAAATTTCATTTAATCTATTTTTAAAAAAAACACTGCTTAAAAGATCGTACATTTTTTGAAATCTTACTGAAGCTTAAAATTTAGTCTTTAAAATACTACAAATAATTTCAATGATCACGAGCAGCAAGAAGATAACCAACGAAATGTGGAACGCCATTCTTTTGAGTTGGCGATTAATCGCCAAATAAAGTGGTTCGTTGAGACTCGCTTGAAAGTTATCCTGAAACATTTCCGCTCGATACACGTGGTTGGTAGAAAAGATAAACAAATCCGCAACAAGCAGCTCTCTGTTGATCCAATTAATGGAGGGCGAATTGTGTCTTGAAACCCGAATTGTATTCGAATAATAATAATGAAGAGAAATTAGCTCATCGAAAGAGAGACTCATACAATACCCTCACTTTGTATGCATTGAGCATCTTATGTAGTTTAATATATATTTATTGTGCTCAATAAATATATATTATTTAGACCATTAATCAATGATTAATGGTCTAAAAAGTGTAATTGATTAAAAAAAAGAAAAAACTAAGGCTAATTTATCCAAATAACGCAAGTTTAACTTTATGTTATACATAAATAAGTAAAATAAACACGTGTAATAAGTAATATGCGTTGAGCATTTTATGTAGTTTAATATATATTTATTGTGCTCAATATATATTTTTAATCAATGATTAATGGTCTAAAAAGTGTAATTGATTAAAAAATTTTGTAAGGCTAATTTATCCAAATAATGCAGGTTTAACTTTATGTTATGCATAAATAAATAAAATAAACACTTTGTATGCGTTGAGCATCTTATGTAGTTTGATATATATTTATTGTGCTCAATATATATTTTTAATAAATGATTATTGGGCTAAAAAGTGTAATTGATTGAAAAAACAATTTAATACTAATTTATCTGAGTAATGCAGGTTTAACTTTATGTTATGCATAAATGAATAAAATAAAGTTGACAAAAAGCACAAATTATGTAGCATAAAAAAAGATGATTATTTCGGTGTGATTCATTATACAGTACTTAAGCGATCCGAGGTATATTTTTATTTGTTGTTAATTATGTTTTTTTTCTTTTTCCATGTCGTTTTAACTTCGTTTTGAATTGATTTTTGTTGTTGTTTACTACGTTTTGTGTCTGGAGTATTCAGAGATCGTTAAATCAAAGCTACCGAGTCGATAGTTTAAATTTTTGACTGCAGCTCTTTCAAAATTTTCTTCTAATTCTATGAAAGTATCAATATTATTACTTAGTGAATATAAATTTCAACATTTTGATTTTTTAATGTAATTAAAGATGTTTTTCTTTTAAACTACTTATCACACCAATCACAACATACTAGATGAAAAGTTTGATTTTAAAAAATATATTCGTTAGAATTATGCTTTACCATTAAGCGGAAAGAACTTGATATCAAAATCTTCCACGCACTCTCGCACATACATAAAAATCATATAACTAGAAGTTTCTCTTGTGAATATTCATAAACTCGGATTCTGCAACGGATGATGACGAATTAAATTTATTTACATATATGCAATGTAGCTAAATAAAACTGGTTTTGGAATTTGTTTTTTTATCAAAAGATAACTTTATGATATCCATTTTTCAATAGGTTCGATTATTTTCCGGGCAACCATGCTCTAAAAAGTTCAGATATGACAGTTTAAGTATGTAATGAGTTATAATTGTCATATTATTTAATCGAGTAATATTTTGTGTCTACATACTTATAATCCTCGAAAGTTTCTTGAGTTTCCGAAAAATTATCAACATAATAAGTTGAGTGGACCAATTTTTAGATTCTATTGCCTAAACGTCCAGTTGTAAGCCTTAGAGGCAGTACCGTCTTTACGTATGGGCACACCTGGGCAGTGCCCAGGGGCCCCAGGCACTCAAGGGGCCCTTGAGAATCTTACTTTTCATAAATTGTGTTTAAAGAGTAAACAACATTGCCTTATATATTTTTTAAAACAAATATATTCTATTATATAAAGTGTGCATTTTTTTCTACAAATAGTGATTGATTATCATGCAAACACCAATAATTTNTTATTGTGCTCAATAAATATATATTATTTAGACCATTAATCAATGATTAAAGGTCTAAAAAGCGTAATTGATTAAAAATAAATTAAGGCTAATTTATCCAAATAACGCAGGTTTAACTTTATGTTATGCATAAATAAATAAAATAAACACGCGTAATAAATAATATGCTTTGAGCATTTTATGTTGTTTAATATATATATTTATTGTGCTCAATATACATTTTTAATAAATGATTAATGGGCTATAAAGTGTAATTGACTAAAAAAATTTAAGACTAATTTATATAAACAATGCAGGGTTAACTTTATGATATGCATAAATAAATAAAATAAAGTTGAAAAAAAGCACAAATTATGTAGCATTAAAAAAAGACGATTATTTCGGTGTGCTTCATTATGTAGTACTTAAACGATCCGAGGTATATTTTTATTTGTTGTTAATCGTGTTTTTTTCTTTTTCCATGTCGTTTTGAATTGATTTTTTTGTTGTTTACTACGTTTTGTGTCTGGAGTATTCAAAGATCGTTAAATCAAAGCTACCGAGTAGATAGTTTAACGCGTTCACGCCGGGAAAAGTGAAAATACTGGTACAGGAAAAGAGAAAATACTGGTAGAAGAACTATTTCAATATTAGATAATATTCGGAAGGAGTTAATCTATTCTCAGCAATAACAATTCGCTGTAAGGATATTTATCACGGCGAAGAAGCAATTCAATATAAAAATTGCATCCGTTAAAAACAATTGGTAGTTATGGATTTTTATTATTCCCGGAAAAAAAACTAAAAAATGAAATTTATTGTTACCACTTTTACATATCTGCAATGTAGCTAAATAAAACTGGTTTTGGAATTATTTTTTATCAAAAGATAACTTTATGATATTGATTTTTCAATAGGTTTAAGTATTTTCCTGGTCATTCTAAAGTTTAACCATGCTCGAAAACGTTCAATTATGATAGTTTAAGTATGTAATGAGTTATAATTTAAATAATTACTGTTTATTCGAGTAATATTTTGTGTCTGCATACTTAAAATTTTCTTCGACCCCGAAAACACGGTCTTATTAAAAACAACAATAAAGGTAAAGTGATCCAGTTTTTAGATTCTACTAACTAAACATCCTGAAGTAAGACTGGGAAGAATATATTTTGGACTATGTCAGTTATCCTTCATTTATTAAAATCAACCTCAAGAATTCATTAATTAAGCTTGTGTTATATACTAGTAAATTGTTATTTAATATTTATAGTGGTAGTTACGTCACAAGACTAATGATCCAACCCCTGTTATACAGCACATTTGTCTGGCTATTCAACAAAACACCTTTCTTTATTTCTTTATTAACACCTTTCTGTATCGATTTTGTTAAATTTTTTTAGCCACTGGACCGTACTCAGTGCGGAGGTGGGGGACTATTGTCTCTGGGGCCGGTACTGCTAAGGGCCGGTGAAAATTTCTTACAAAAATTGCAGTGTTTATTTTTTTAACTAGTTTATTTTAAAGAAAAATGCCAAAAAATTCTTTGTATCGAAATAAAATTTACAATTTTGGGGGGAGTCTCAAAAATTAAAGAAATACGAAAAGAAGACTTGTTAGGAATGGTACGGTAATAAATTTTGCCATGAATCGGGTAAAACCTGTGTTTAACCTTGTTTACTATGTGGTTTATGGCGATTCCTTACAATCGGCAATAAGTCGAAGCTTCCGTGATTTGTAAGTCGCGTTATTACGAATCGCGATCTAATGATTTGTAAGTCTTCAGAGATGCCAACTTGCTCCGGACAGCAAAATATATTGTGAAGTGGTAATTTATCAATTGTGATTCTTGGTTTAATAAATTCAATTTAGTAGATTTTTATCCTCCACTATTTCTAAAAAAATCGTAGGCTTATATTATTCACCACTTCATAGTACCTATGTCATGCCAATAGTCCCAGTCGCCATTTAGCCTAATTCACATGAAGAAGTCTACTTATGTCTTGCTATACCTTTTAAAAAGTAAGCAAAAATAGTCAAATATTTGCAAAATTTACTATGTAGTTATTTACCGTTTTTCTTTATTTTATTATTTTGGCGTGTCCGCAGCAATTGGTGTCTCTGAGTCTTGTGAATTTAGAATACGAAGAGCTATTCGTAAAACGTGTGAATACAAATGTGAATAGAAATGGTGAAAATGTAAATCATGATGTAAAGCTGAAAAAGGAATAATTTAACTAATCATCGTTAAAATGGTTCTTGTAGACTAATTTGGCAGAGTGGAGTCGAAAAAACTTACATTTCGAATACATCGCTCCTTTATGCTGAATATCTTCAATTATGTCCTTCTTTTCTGTTGTTTTTCTTCCATGGATGGAACATTTCTAGTGTTTTTCTATCATTTCTTTCTTTATTATTATTTTTTTAATAAAAAAATGTTATGAGTTTAGCATTTATTTAAATTTTTCGTTTTTTTTTTTTTAGGAATGGGTAACAGCATCTGACATCCGCATTACTTTAGATAGAGTCAATTCTTTTGGTGATGAAATTTTCGGCGATGAAAAAGTCTTGAAATCATATTATTATGCAATTTCCGATTTTGCTGTTGGTGGAAGGTAAGTCTAACTGTATGAAATTCAATCAACTTTCATAACTTAAAGTAAGTCAGCATTGTGAAATGTTTAAAATTGTTTTTCAGATGTAAGTGCAATGGACACGCAGGGGAATGCATTCGTGTTAACCAAAATCCAGATGCTCCTTGGGAGACTCAACTTGTGTGTCGTTGTGAACATAATACTGCCGGTCCTGATTGTGAAAGATGTTTACCATTTTATAATGACCAACCTTGGTCTAGAGCTACTGCTACAGATGCTCATGAGTGTAAAGGTATAATCTTTTGTTTTTGTTTAATAATTATGCATTATTTTATGTAATATTTTCATTAACTACTAAATTTATAATTTGAAATGAAATTTTAACTTTACATTCAAGCTTTTTAAGAATATGCTTATTTTTATGCTTTGCAAATTAATGGTTATAGGAATGTTTAAACTTAAATTCGTAATTTTCTAGCTTGATTTAATAGAAATTAACAAATGTCGCAAAAAAGAAAGTAATAAAATGAGGCCACAATACCAGAGATGCCAGCTGCATACCTGCCAACTTTTACGCATTTGGCGTAAAATTTTATTTCTATATTTAAAGTGGTAGTAAAATGTATGCTTTCTGTATATTCCTTGCATTTATTAACTTAATTTATAATTTTTTTTATCTACCACTATTTTTTTAAAAAATAAGCATATATAGAAATACGCGATATTAGATTGGTAATCTATATGTGCTTGTTAATAATGCAACGTATGTTTCTGTTTAAAATTGTAATTTAAATTACATCTTACTACACTGAGGAAAATCGATCTTGAAAGGATTGAAAGTTGGCAGGTATGTAACCAAAATAATTAAAAAATCGGTACATAACTACAAAAGAAATTTTGCAAATATAGGACTATTTTTGCTTTCTTTTTGAAAGGTATAGCATGACATAAATACTATAAAGTGGTGAATTATATGAAGCAACGACATATTTAAGGATAGTGATGGATAAAAATCTACTAAATTGAATTTATTAAACCAAGAATCGCAATTGATAAACTACCACTTTAAAATATATATTTGCTGTCCGCAGCAAGTTGACATCTCTGCAATACTATACTGCAGGATGTCTCAACAATGACTGACTATTTATAAAATTAATTAAAGAGAAAAAGGAAGGAGGTATAATTGTTCGGTTTGCTCAATTCTGTCCAGAAAACTAGATATTTCTTTCAACCAAATTTTGTAGTTAATTAGGCAGTTGGTTAATAAGTAAAGTGCTGATTAAAATAGCTATGAAACTTTACTTTCTACTGAATGTTTGACCTGTAGCGTAGTTTTAATGTATGTTTGAGGGGGGGGGGGTTGTATATATATAAAAGTTCAAATTACAAAAAATGTATAATGATACTTTTCTTAATTTTGTCAATAGACTGTACTACATTATTTCAGCAATTGTTGGTTATTCTTAAAAATTCCTTTACTAGTTTTTCTCAGTTATCAGCGCCATCTCTTAACAAAACTTTTAACTAATTTTAAAGTTTTTTTTTGGAGAAAAAAACTACTTTTCTATGCAGAACATAGAAAAATATACACTACTATTTCCCCCATTTCTTTTTAATAATTAATTTATCAAATCGTCATTCATTTTGGGAGATTATTATTAACTTAGATTTAATGTTTTAAGGATTATTAATTTATTTATAAGTAAATGAAAATCATTATTGAAAAGAATGGATATTAACTAGTCTAAAATCAAGCTTGTAGTAGTAAATTTAAGTAAGGGGCACAAAATTGTCTTAAAGTATTAAAATTATTTAAAAACATTGGCCAAATTTTCTGAAAATTATGTCACATATTTTCTATTGAACCTTTGTAATAACTAATAACATAAAGTGATTCAAATTTTGAAGATACCTTTTGTAATCATTTTATTTCATTTCATATTTAACCATCTAAAGTGTGGTGGTATAAAAACTGTTCAATATTGATTTGTCCATAATATAAACCACTAAAATTTGAATAGTTTTTAAGTTTTAAAGAATAAGTTTTTTGTCCAACGACATTTTATCTAGAAAAATGTAATGCTAAAAAAATTACTTAATTGTGGACATGCACATGCTGACCACAATTCTCTTGGCTTTTCTTGCCTAAATTTTTTGATTGAAATTTTAGGGACCAAAAAAGGGTTGATAATTAATCCTCATTTGACTTTCATATACATAAAAAATAAATAAATAAATAAATCACTTTACGCATTATTTTTTATCTTAATTTACTTATCTTAAATCCTCAAATCTATTTTTAGCATGTAACTGCAATGGTAGATCTAATTCTTGTTACTTTGATGTTGAGTTGTGGCTGCAGACTGGACATGGGGGTCACTGCTCTGATTGTAGAGATAACACTGATGGAGTGAGCTGTGAAAGATGCAAAGAAAACTTTTATTTGAGGGAAGATGAAAGATGTGTTCCATGCAATTGTGATCCCGTAGGTATGGTACTCGATTAATTTACATATTGAGCCCAATGTTTTGTCTAATTGTACTATCCTAATTATGTAAGCTGACCAGCATCCTAAAAAATCTAAAAACCTGGTTGTAAAATTTATAAAAGAACATTAAAAAATTCACCGTTTTACCTTTTCAATTATTTAGATTATTTTATTTGTAGTTTCTGATAATTTTATCCCATTTCCAATTATTTATCGCTGATAAATATATAGGAAAAAACCAGAGTGAGAAAGAAAAAGTTTAAGACCTGGAAGAAGCTGGTTAGATAGAGTAATGGTCAAATGACTTGGAAGTTAATAGATAAATATTTCATCAAATAGATCTAGATGGGAAAAACTGACTGAGATGGCCTTGGCCAGTGACGGGCTGTACTGCCTAAGAAGAAGCTAGGGATTTTTGTTTTCAGAATATTAAATTGGAAAATGTGAAGCATTGGTTTTTCGAATTACTTTTTAGAAAGTAGTTTTTCAGTTTTCCTGGGACACTGGTCAATTTAGTGAAACTTTGTTACATATTTCTAAATATTTGAAATTATTTTCATGGAAATGTGTTTTGAGTAGAGCATTATTTAGAACAGTTTTAGCCATAAAACACTACTATCTTGATTGTTACATCTCTCCATTTAATGTACTGTATGAGCTACAAAATTTGTTCTTAATGATTGCAAAATGATCAAAATCTGAATAATTAAAAATTACCAATAAATATCACTACATTTGTATAAGTGCTATTCATTTATATCTTTATTTTGATACATCGTTGTTAAATTATGCCAAATTTTATATGTATAATTTATTTTTTAAGTGATAATCTCAACTTTCAATTAACTTATATACAGATTTTGTATCTGGCTTGCCCAAATGGCATTCATTAGGATCAGGTGCCCTGAGTTTTTAGCCTTGATTACAGTTTAGTTTTATTTCGTAAATATTATTTGAGTTTATAGTTTATTATAGCTACAACGTCAAGAGTAAAATGTTTTATTTGAGAAAAACAAAAAAATATCTTTTTCTAATAAAAATGCAGTGTTTATAGGAATTTTATTCTGATAAGTTGTTCAGCTAATATAATCACACAGGCATGTGATTCTTCCTCTGATTTGTGGAATACCGCGAATCAGTAATTTATAATCCGCCAGAATTTTTCAGAGTTCCATTAATCTGAAATTTGAATTTCGTTACTTACGTAAAATCTCGTTAACAAGACATTTATTCGATAATACTCGATAATTGTTTCATTCGATTATTTCGCAGTTATCAGTTATTAATTTTCACATACTTTTTAAAATCTCAATACTCTTAAGACGATATTATTTATTCTAACACGTGAATCTTGAAAAATGCATTTAATTAACCCCTTTTGACTTGTTCGATTTCATTGTAAATACTCTCAGTGACCTAGTTTTAAAGTATGTTTGAGGGATTATCTGTTATCTCCTTCTAATATACATATATATATATATATATATATTCTAAACGTTTAAATTTCAAAAACTGAATGATGAAACTTTTTTATATCTACATTCTACTTACTCTACAATGGTATATTAATCAAGTAATAATTAATTTCGGAGGGGGTTTTGTCCCCCAGAACCTCCCCAAAATAGCACCACTAAAAAAATGTGGTATTATCAGTAATCTTTTTTTCAGTTATTGCTGTGGATTTCACAGTTTTTAAAATCTTTATTTAAGTTCATTTTATTTATTTCTACATGCCAGGATGACATTATATATATATGTATATGTATGCATAAAAATAACAGTCTCTATCTATCTTCCTTGTACAAAAATATGTAAAACAAGTTTAAGTACTAAAAAACACACACAAAAATCAACACTGAGGAAAAATAAATTCTTATAATTTTGCTATCAGCAATCACATTATAACAGCAGTTTTTCTAAAACATAATAATTGATCAAAAACTATACTAATTTTTTAAAATTTATTTTTAATATTGTTTAAAAAATTTCATCAGTTTAAGATATTTCTACTGAAGTGCAAAAATTTTAAAAGCAATTTCTTACATTTTCAGGATCGAGAAGCTTGCAGTGCAATAATAAAGGACAATGTTCATGCAAACCAGGTGTTGATGGTTTGCGTTGTACTAAATGTGCTGCTAATTTCTATGATTTTTCAGATTTAGGTTGCAGGTTAGTTTAAAATTCTTTCATTTCTTTCCAATTTTTTTAATTATGTATTTGTTATAAGTTAGTTTGGGACTCTGGCGTTTTGAAAACTTAGCTATGCGCCTAAACGATTCATTAAAATAATGAATCGTTTGAAAAATGTTTGCAGCAGTTTGCAAAAAGCTGGCTTTTCCAATGAGCCCGATAGAGAGGAATGGGCTCAGCCAGAGCCCTGCAAGATGCAGACTTGGACTAACTCACTTGAACTAGTTCACAAAAAAAAAGTTTCAGGCTTGGGCGGGCGGATTCACAATTTTGATAAAATTTTCGTGAACCTTTTTTGCTACTTTTGAGCAAATTTTTGGTTCAGTTATTGAATATAAAAAAATTTGACATTTTTAAGGTTTAAAATATTATAGCTATCTGCTACTTCTGTTCGATGCTCTTGTTTTATGACCACAAAGTTTAGCCTTTATCCAACATATATCCAAAGCTTGGGTGAACTTAAGCTCTAAATAATCCTATGTATCTCGAGCTTAGATTAAAAATTTTTGGACTGGGATCTCCAAAAGCAAGCCTAGACACTCTATAGCTCTATAGCACTCCAAGCTCTATAGCCTGCAACATACATATATATTCTACTACTACAGCATAATTTCTGCAGTTTCAAAAAATATTTTTCCTGGTTGTAACAAAGATAGTTAATATTTTGATTCTAATAATTAGTATTTTAATAGATGAAAACTAAAAGAATTGTTTCCACCACTTATGAATAATTTTAACAGACATAAAAATGTTCAGACAGTTGATTAGTATTGTCATTAAGTTCTAATAAAAGGTGCACATAAATATTTGATGTATAGAGATTCATAAATATTTGATGTATAGAGATATAAGGAATTTTATTTGATCTTGTTAAATTTTTTGACTTATTTTTCTGAATTTTGCTAATTTTTTTAAGCTTTTTTTTTATTTCTTTGAAATTATCAATGCAGTTGCATATGTAAATAATTTATTTTTTTCTTGATAAATTTGTTTCAGAGCCTGTGGTTGCCATGTTGCTGGAAGTATCGATAACACTCCTACCTGTGATCACATTACTGGTGTTTGCCGATGCAAAGACTATGTTGAAGGGCAACGTTGTGATCAGTAATATTAAATTTTATATATTTAAAATTATTATTGTGGGATGTCACATTTTTATAATTTATTAGGTATTTTGTAATTTGTACAGCCCTTTATCTACATTCTTAACAACCTTGTCGAAGATAAAGAAAAAAAAAAGTATATTAGGCTAAATAAAAGCTAAAACGCTCTTGAAATCTAATGAATTACAACTGAAGAAGATGGGGCTGAGAACATCAAAATTTGTTTTATTGCAGGAAGAAAAGGATTTGAATTTCAAGTTTTATCAGACAGTCAAATTTTTTTTGACGTCTTTCATCTCATTTTCCTTACTGTTTGACAGTAGATTTGATTAAGATTTTGATAGTATTTTTGCTTTTTCTGCACTAATGCTAAGCGATATCAGAATCATTAGAAAATATTGATATTTTACAATATATTGAGATATTTTCAATATAACTAATTTACATATTTTTTTACATCGGGCAATGTTTTCTTGCCACTATTAACAAAGGAAATAGCACTAAGCAAAGAGAAGAATAGCGCTTCAAAGAGAAGACAGTTCTGTCGACAATGTTCTTGAATTGTGAAACACCATGTGAAGAAAAAAGTTCACGGTAGTGAGTTTCACTTATTGGGTCGCGATATAGTCAGTATTCATTAAACATCGGTATTTTTTAGTATTCATTGAGTTAGGATGTTTATCAAGTTTTGATATTTTTGGGGTTTTATCGTGTTGATGGTATTTATTGTTTGTCAATATTTCCTAATATTTATCATATTTATGATAAATAGTGATAATGTATTTTGGTCTTGGTTAATGTGATAATTAGGAAATATCGATGTTTCACAATATATCGCCCAGATCTATTCCTCGCTTAAATATAGGTTTTATTGACCGTAACGTGATTTTTTTAATTCTTAACAAGGATTCTAGAAATATTTAGGAAAGGTGGTAATTATAAAGCACCCTCTATATGATTACGTATGAATGAGTTTTAGCTTGAAAAAACATTTTTATTTCTGAGTAATGCATCTTTTCATTGTTTATTAGGTGCAAGCCTGGCTACTTTGATCTTCAAGACAGCAATGAGTTTGGTTGCTTACCCTGCTTCTGTTTTGGACATTCCTCTGTGTGTAGAAGTGCTCCTGGTTATTCTGCTTATTCTGTTGATAGTACTTTTGCGAGAGGTTTGTTTGATAGTTTCATTTTATTTTGTGAATAAAATTTTATTTTAGATTTATTATATATATATATATATATATGTAACATAAAAAGCTTCTATTGATCTTTTTACGTTAGTTTCTTTGCTATAAAACAACTCCTACTTTATTACTAATTAATTATTCTATTCCAAATTCTTTCTCACACTTTTAAAAGCCACATCCTGTTCTTAAATCTATTTTTGGCTCAACTATGCATTTAATTAAGAGCAGGACATATCTCCCTATGCTCTGTGTGGGAAACGCTAGATTTCTTTCATAAACCAATAGTAATCCTTATCACTTCCCTTTTCCCCTCAAATATAACAAAATAGAGGGAAATTCCTTTGCTACTTTCCCTAAGATAAAAACTTAAGCACACAGTTTTTGAGTGCGATTTTGAGCTCCGCCTTTGCTAGAAAATGTCNCGCGTGCCATTTATGGCACGTGACACAATATTTTGGGCACGCAACCGATCGCAATTGTTATTGAACTATGAATTGTTATTACACAAATGTTATTACACTATGAAGCATATGTAACAATTAAATTAAAATTAACAAAAACAAACAAAATAATAAATAATTATTAATAAAAAAATTAACAATTAATGCTAAAAAACAATTAATAACCATAAAAAACAAGTTAACAATAAGTAACTAGCAAAAAAAATTAGCAGTCTTGCTAAAACTAACATCTAACAACCTAATATAAGTTATTTGTCGTCTAATCTGCAGCAACAGAAGTCACACTGATGTTACTTTAAGTTGAATTATACCTGAGACATTGCAAAATGTAAATGTATTTATAACTGAAACATTGCAATATGTATTTTTCTTCCAATGTAAATAAAGAGTTTTAAGTTGATAGTATTTAGTATTATTATTTTACCAATAATCACGAACTTAAAACTATTTGACGGCACGTCTACGATATCATTAAGCAATATTTTAGTAAAAATGGCACGTTGGTGTATAAAGGTTCGCCACCCCTGAACTAGTGGTATCCGTTCAGCGAATTCTATCACCGATATAATTCTGGTGGGGGAGTACTGTAGTGTATCTACCACTACAAATATGTAATTCCAATTCACTAGTCTATGAAACACGTTAACTTGATTCTATGGTGGGGTACCTCTTCATAGATGAAGCTTGACATTGTCGATGTCTACTTTCCCCACGAGTAGGTTTAAAAATTTGTATGTCTAATGATGTACAAAGTAGAGTAAGGCTGTATATTAAGAGATATTGATCTGTTTTTTTTTATTTATTTATTATTATTATTCCTGAAATTTTCTTTGAACAATTTTCAAAGTAATTTTTTCTCTTTATTTATTAATTCGATATGTTATTGTTTTAGATAAAGAAAGATGGAATGCTGTGGATTATGGTAGGAGAGATATTCCATTTAAGTACAATCCTTCTACTCAAAGCATTGAAGTTAATGCTATAGGAAGAGATCCTGTTTATTTTCTTGCCCCTGGTGAGTTAAGTATTTTCTTTTTACTGTACTGATCAGCTTTAAAATATAATATAACATTAGAAGAACAATTATTCCCTACATATTTTTAGAATCACTTATTTCCTAAGTGATCTTTTGTTTAACCTCTTAATGGTCGCATAATTTTAAAGAAAATGGTCATATAAGTGCCTATTTCTTATTCAAGAAAATTTTATAAAAATAAATGTCTGTACAGTAGATTTATTCATTTTTGATTTTTGGGTTGATCACAAATATACATGCACGATAAGTGTTAATAAGCTGAACAAAATTTAAAATAAGCTGACTATCTATAGAAACATTACAAGTAATCTAATTAAATTTAATCTTTAATTAAATAATTAATTAGTGCTTGAAATATTTTCTCGCCCTCTGAACTGAACCTCTATGATTTTTTTTCCTTCAATTGAGTTCCCCTACATTGTGCAATTTTAAGTTTCGTTTATTTGTAAAGTTTATTAAAATCAGCTGCGCTTGAAAAAAATTATAAAATTGCATATTCTACTTATCTAGTTCCTTCCATTTATTTTGTTGAAAAGCAGAAGGCCATTCATTGACTATTTTAAGTCTTATTTGGGCCCCATATGTCAGATCCTGCATTTCTAACTTAGTTGGACACAATTGCTTAAGCTTTGCTCACTATTCTTTGTGAAAAATTATGTTTTATGGTATGAAAATATTATTTTGTGATTAATTTGCAAGAATGTTTAACTTTTGTAAACTTTTTAGAAAAATTTCTTTTTTATTGAAAACATTTCCGTTTTTTTGCTTTTAATTTTTTTCATTTATGATGTTACTATGGTTTTAAGTTTATTACAGGTTTACATTCTTAAAATTATAAATAATTACATTATATTGATGAACGTTTATATATCTATTTGCTTTTAGTTCATATTTATTTATAACTTGATAATAATTGAGGCAATCCTTTTCCTGCTTTCCTAGAAATTATTGTCAAATAATACCTAACTATTTCTATGTTTTCTTCGGAACCTTACTGCAACAAATCATTGTTAATGTGAATTTTTTATTTCTTGTATTTCTATTTTCTCAGACAGATATCTAGGGGATCAACGTACTGCCTATAATCAGTTCTTAAGTTTTACTCTGAGAATCGGAGAAGAAGGACCTCAAGCTACCCTCGAAGACATAGTTTTGGAAGGTGCTGGCTTATCAATATCTCTACCGATTTTCGGTCAAGGCAATCCACTTCCTGGGACCACCAATCAAAATTACAAATTCAGGCTTCATGAACATTCAGCATATGGTTGGAATCCAAGGCTTACAGCTCACGATTTCATCAGCATTTTATCCAATTTAACTACTATAAAAATGAAAGCCACTTATACTCCTGAAGGTAGCTACTTAAATTTAACTGTGATAATTTTGTTGTTATTAATTCAATAATAATGATAATTTAATAATAATGATAATTCATAGCTGCTATATTTACTGAATTTTGTATGTTTCTCTTGAACTCTTGATTTTTGAGTATTTTACAAAGTTTCCTAAAATGGAAAAGTTTCTGTAAGAAAATTGTTATCAGAGCAGATTTCATACTCATTTTATTTCTGGCTTACGATTTCATCAGCATTTTAGCCAATTTAACTGCTGTAAAAGTTAAAGCAACCTATGCTCTTGAAGGTAGCTACTTAAATTTAAAGGTGATAGTTTTGTTGATATAAAATTTATTAAATAATTAGACTTCATATTAACCATATCTACTGGATTTTGCCTGTTTCTCCTGTTTTTTGTATATTTATATACTTTATATTCCTGAAGGTAGCTACTAATTTTATTAAAGCTACTAATACTAAGGTAGCTACTAATTTAATTTTATTAAAGAATAACAATAATAATTCTTAGCTTCCAAATCTACTAGATTTTGCCATTTTTTCCTCCTTTTATTGCTTGCTTGAGTGTTCAAATAAGTATTAATACTAAATACTAGAGTAAGTCTAATTTATAGTAATCAATCTAAAGTTTTTCTATTTTAAATATTCTACAATGTTACATTTTTTCAGGTATCTTTATTTTTTTAAATTAATTAAGGAATAGGCTATAGCAATCAAAAAGGAATTATGAATATATATCATTAATTAAGTTTTTAATTTCATAAATATAGAAAAAAATAAAAAGACTATTAAAGCAAGGAAAAAAATGTGAATAAAGCATAAATGAGAGTATACACTCTATTATAAATGAGAGTATACTACAACAAAAAAATCGATGCACAAAGAAGCAATCATCCGATTGCTTTGAAATTTCGTATGCATGAATGTTTTGAACAGATATGGCTGGAATGATGCCGACTGGGGACGCATAGTCTTTAGCGACGAATCCAGCTTCCATCTGTGTCCTGACGATCATAGAAGACGTGCTTGGAGATGCACAGGGCAGAGGGGGGATCCTGCCTTCACTATTGCACACCACACCGGCCCTCAACAAGGCATTATGGTCTGGGGTGCCATTTCCTTTGACAGCCGGACCCCTTTGGTCGTCATTAGAGGTACACTCACTGCACAGCGGTACGTTGATGACACCCTAAGACCTGTTTTGCTACCGTTCCTTTTGCAGCGCCCTGGGCTGGTTTTTCAGCTGGACAATGCCAGACCACATATGGCACATGTTCCTATGAACTGTCTGCAAGCTTGTCAAACTCTTCCTTGGCCTACCAGATCACCAGATTTCTCTCCCATCGAGCATGTCTGAGATATGATGGGAAGGCGATTGCATCTGGCACGGAATGTTGATGACCTCGTTCGACAATTGGATCGAATTTGGCAGGAAATACCGCAAGAGACCATCCGGGAGCTTTATCGGTCTATGCCACGCCGTGTGGCAGCTTGTATCCAGGCTAGAGGCGGGTCAACACCTTATTGAACTTGTTACTGTAACTCTGAAATAAATTATTCAATTGTTTTGAAATTTTAATCATTTACTATTCTATACATTGTCTTCCTATTCACCAATTTTCGTTTCAATCGGACAACTCCTTGGTGCGTCGATTTTTGTGTTATAGAGTGTATTTGCACTTTATTTTCATTGTTTTTTGCTTCAGCCTACATGGCTCAAAGTATTATCCTTTTCTTTGTTGAAGAAGACTATTCAATTCCGTTTAATGTCAGTTTAGTTATAAATGTAAAATACTACAGCCAATTTAAGTTTATAATTACTAGTGCTATATAGTATTTTATTTTATTGACTATGAAAATCCTTAAAGTTCTATGTCTAAAATACTTTAGATCTTACACTATAGCAGCATAAAATTTATTAGATTTCATCAGAGATGCCAACTTGCTCCAGACAGCAAATATATATTTTTAAGTGGTAACTATAAAGTGGTAGTGTATCAAATGTGATTCTTGGTTTAATAAATTCAATTTAGTAGATTTTCATCCACCACTATTTCTAAATAATTCGTAGGCTTATATAATTCACCATTTTCTAGGACTTAAGTCATGCTATACCTTTCAAAAAGTAAGTAAAAATAGTAAAATATTTGCAAAATTTACTTTGTTTTTTAATTATTTTGGGGTATCCGGAGCAGTTGGCATCTCTGTTTCATATAATCCACTAGATTTTTCTTTTTCTTGTTGGTAACTGTGATAATTTTGCATATTATAGGAACTGGATACCTTGACAATGTTCACCTGGATTCTGCTCACCGATCTCCTCTTGGTGTTGAGGCTACTTGGGTGGAAATGTGTACCTGTCCTGAAGGTTATGTTGGACAATTTTGTGAATCTTGTGGTCCAGGCTATAGGCATGATCCACCCAATGGTGGAAAATTTGCTCGTTGTGTTCCATGCAATTGTAATGGACATGCTGAATATTGTGATCCTGAAACTGGTAATTACAATTTTTTAGAAGATTGTTTTTCGTGTCTTGTTTTGAACTCTTTCTATGTTCACATTTATTTTTAATTTGATAATGTGATTTTAAAATTTAATTTTTTTGCTTATTCAAACAAAGAGTAAAATAGAAAATTTGGTTTATTTTAATTTAGTTGATCTAAAAGATAAAATATTGATTGAAATTTATAAAAATTTAGATGTTTCATAAGCTTTGATATAAAAATGGTGATTTTTAAAAGTAGGCCTAGTGTGTCTAGGCATAAATTGAGACCTGTCATTAACCCTTTGACTACGAATTTAAAAAAATGATTTTTTTTGTCCCGTTTATTATTCAAAAGGACAAAATAGATCACATATAAGGCAAATTTAGTATTTGCGATTTTTCTGACAAGCGGTTATCAATTTAGAGGCTGGGACATATATGTCCCGGCCGTACTTAATGGTGGGATACGGATGTCCATTTTTAAACATTTGTTGGGACAAATGAGTCCCATTAGTAGTCAAAGAGTTAACTAATAATTATTTATATTTCTAGTTAATCTAACTGTAAATAATTAATTATTTTTATTTCTAATTTTCAATCTTACTACAAAGATGTGTATATATTGGTAATTTGTGTATTAGATTTTCCATACTGTTATAGGTTTTAATTTCAATGTGCCTAATCTGAGTGACTTGTTTAGAGAATGAATTAAAATTTCTAAAAAGTTTTTCAATGTTTCAAGTTTTATTACTAATTTCTTAGATACTATGTAAGATGAGAATTAAGTGTTAGTAAAACTTAGCTTCAACTTAGTTTTCATTTGAATATTTTAAATAAATACTTCTATTTATAACAAATAGTTGTATTATTTTAAAAGTACTAAACTAAAATCACATTTTCATGTAATTGCCCTTTATTTTATAGTTTTTTTTTATATTTTCATTCTATATTATTGAAGTTTTTTCTTTATGAAAATGAAACTGAATATAAATTATTTCAGGACGTTGCATTTGCCAACACAACACTGCAGGGGACAATTGTGAACATTGTGCATCTGGATATTATGGCAATGCTGTATTGGGGACTTCAGATGATTGCCAACCTTGCCCTTGCCCTGGAAATGGTGCTTGTGTCATTTTACCCGATAATGAAGTTGCCTGTTTAGAATGCCCAGAAGGATATGCTGGTTTGTAACAATACAATTCTTAAAAAATATATTTTCCTCCGTGAATAAGTCTTTTGGGTGTTTTACTTTGCTTCTCAAAAATTCTCTTTTTATTAATTTTTATTAAATTATCATTTACAGTTACAATTCATAAATGTAAGATGCATTGTAGATGTTTATAAAAATTTAGGTATGTGTTTAAAAAAATTATTATTACAAAAGACAAAATTATATGGTTAAGATTTAGTTATATATAGAGAGTACTTTTAAAAAAAGTCTAGATACAGTTAAAACTCACTATAACGAGTATGGCATATTACGAGAAGTTCAGTATGACAATTTTCTTAGTCATCAAAGAGCTAACATTAATATTAAAAAAATTGTACATTTATAATCACTTAAAAATTACAAACTATTGGAACAAACTTTTTTGTAGAAATTTTTTTTTCTCTACGGTTTAAGTATGTTATGTTATAATGAAGAGTGCAAAATGGAAGACATAAATATATATTTCTGGTAGAAATAAAGAAAAATCAAAGGGATTGTCAAAAAAGTAAACAAAGAAAAAGCTGCATAGTTAGAAGTTGAAGTAGTACTGACCTATTGCCAGATTACATAAATATATAAGTACTATTTTTTTAAATTAACATTCATAATTATATAAAACAAATATGTGGGTAACTACTGGCTAAGTTATCTTCTTCCTTAGTTAAGAAAAATTCAGCTATTCTTAAAAAACCTGATGAACACTTCAAAAATGTGCTTTTTATGTACTGTACCAAATATCTACCATACCTCTCTCTTATTTCTCTTCTTGACAACTTGCTATCGATATCAACATTTAGTGCTATCAATAATATCAAAAATTGAAATTGCACTTTACTTTATTTAGTTTTTTTGCTGTTATTTTAAGATTAAATATGTGTATTTGGTTATAGCAACAAGCTCGTTAGAACAACAATTATATTTGCTATTGTGAATTGTCCTTACGAGGGACTTTTTCTGTATTTGTAATTGTATTAATAGTTTAAAAGTCAAAATTTTGAGATAAATTAATTTTAAAAATATTTTTATGTTCTTTGTGCACAGAGAAGTCTTAAATATATAACTTCTAAACTCAGTGGCATGACAGCTCATAGAGGGCCAAGGCCTACTGTGCCCATCTCAGTTTTCTCGACCTTGGGCTCTGTGGTGCAGGAGCAGATGTTCCGGTCAGGTGGTCAGCTGTACGCGGAACGCCCAGTGTTTAGTTCCCAAGCATGCTTGGTACTCATTTATCGACCCAATCAAGGGATGAAAGGCCGAGTCAGCCTTGCCCGACCCGATGTTCAAACCAGGGACCTGTGGCATGACAGCGCGAAGTGCTACCGCTCAGCCACCGGGCGTCTATATAGTAAATATATAGTAAATTTAAGAATTTGTCTTCCTATTTTTACAAATGATGTAGGCCTCTTTTAAATTGTACTATGTTAATAATTTTACTTAATTGAATGTAACATGTGTTACAAGCAAACATTTAAGTTTATTCACTCTAATGTTTCTAAATATTCAGATTATGACTTAAAGCATTTAGTGATTTCTGATTGAATTTTTTTCAGGTCGCCGCTGCGATCTTTGTATTGATGGATATTTTGGAGAACCTTCACGAGGAGAATGCAGAAAATGTGAATGCAATGAAAATGTTGATTTTAATGCAATAGGTAACTGTGATAGGTATGGTATAAAATCATTCATTTTAAACATAACATCATTATATTTCAAAATATGAATAGTTGTATAGTCTCCCAGCATTGTATATAATACTCAGAGAATGTAAAAGATGTTTTATTATCTCATACTTAGCTGATAGATTTTCACCATTGTATAGATTACTAGATTTTCAAATTTTCCTGTACTATAGATAAAATCATTTTAACTTATCACTCTAGTTAACTTTTACTCATTAAAACTCAGTTAATCTGTCTTATTTTTCTTGATATAGTAAGTGGTTTTAATCAATAATTTAATAATTTATTCTCATATAATTTATAATTCATTCCAATTTATTCTAATAATTTAATAATTAATCATTTCGTAAAACTTCTAGGGTAACTGGTGAATGTTTAAAATGTGTCTATAACACTGGAGGACGTCACTGTGAATCATGTTTGCCTGGATTTTATGGTAATGCTCTAGCATTGCCAAAAGGAGACTGCAAAGGTAATGTTTAGAATTACAAATGCATTGTTTCTGATATTAATACTATTCTTAATTACTGTACTATAGAATGATACTCTATAAACTTAAAGATGTTCTATAAGTTTGAGGAAGACTATAAGGTTATTGTTTAGGCTTGCAAAAATATTGTTTTCTGATATTAATTAATTATTATATTATGGAAAGATTAATTATTATATTATAGAAAGATACTCTATAAGTCATGGGTATTGCTGGGGCCCAATTTTTGTGATGGACAAAATTAAATTAAACACTCATAATAGCTCACTAAATTTCATACATGTGAAATTTTTTTCTCCTAAATGTACATAATACCAGCAGGAATAATAATAATTTTAATCTCTTCCTTGTATTATCCTATACTGTATAAGTTCAAAGAAGACTGCAAAGTTATTGTTTTTTGATTTTAATACTATTCTTAGTATATTATCGAAAGATACTCTATAAGTTCAATGGTGACTACAAAGTTAATGTGTTATTATGAGTTACTGTGTTATTATGAGATGCTTTACAAGTTCATTTTTGAATTTATGTTTCAGCTTGTAATTGCAACCCTGTTGGAACTGTGTTGAAAGAACTTGAACTAAACATATTAGTCTGTAATTATGCAACTGGGCAATGTCCCTGTAAATCTCATGTAGAAGGAAAGCATTGCGACGTCTGTTCTGAAGGTTATTGGAACTTAGCGAGTGGTAATGGCTGTGAGCACTGTAACTGTGATCCCATAGGTTCCTTAGATGGTAGCTGTGATATATCCTCTGGTCAGTGTCATTGCCGTCTGGGAGTTACTGGCCAAAAATGTGATCAGTGCATGCCCCTTCAGTATGGATTTTCAATTGAAGGGTGTAAAGGTACAAAAATTAGATATACTTATTTATTTAATCAGGGTGCAGGGGGGGTAAAAAGTGCTTAAAGGTGCTTATTTTTGATTTTCGTTTTTTAAAAGCCCTTAAAGATGCTTTTCTCATTGGATGTTTTTAAAAAGTGCTTAATTTTCCCTTTTTCAAAATGAGATTTTTCCTTTATCATGTTGATTTTCACTACAAATTATGCAAAAAGGCTTCGTTCGCATTCTTTTATTCAACGTTTTCGCAATTAATTCAATCTCAATCTATTTCGGCGTATTGCCAGTCTGTAGCATATGAAAAGAGTAATTCATTTTACGGGATTCAAAATTTCATGATTTTTGACAATTGTCCAAATTAATGCCAAATTTTTTTTTCCGGCATGATGGTTAAAACCGTCAATTGTCAAAAACGTTCTAACCCTGCCTGATTATGATATTTTTTTAAAGTGCTTAAAAATATTTTTTGAGTGCTTGAAAGGTGCTTAAAAGGTGCTTTTTTTGTTGAATAATTTGGCTATGCACTCTGTTATTTTTTTTAACCCTTTATAAGGCTTTATAATTATACTTAAAACCAACTTCATTAATTTTATTGGAAACTATTTTCTCAACTATGATTTGTTTGGCCTTCTGCTTATAACGTCAGAAATTACCAGAAAAAAGAAAATTCTGAGGGGCTTTATTTACCTAATTGCAGGAAACAAGGAACTGGTGTGATGTCATGAAATGAGGCCAACACTGATAAGCTGATTTCTCTTGCACTTTTTAGAGTTTTGTTCATTTGGCTATTTCTTATCAAGTTTATTTGTTGTTATAAACGCAGAATTTATGAATTTGACTATTTATAAGCATAGAAGTTCAATTTTATAAGCAATTTTTAACAATAAGTAAAGATTTTAAAAATCACACCCACCTTTCCACAAAAATGGTCTTAAAAATCAAGTTACTTTTATTAATAAACTCAATAGTTGTGTTTCTAATTTCTTTTTATAAATCAATCTTGCCACCAAAGAAATTTAAACATAACAGTACTAGAAAAAATAATCTTTTAAAGGGTTAATTTTTATTGGAGTGTTTGTTTTAAAACATATTTTATTGAGAGCGTCTTACAGACTCCATGAATTTTTTACACAGTGCAATTATTATTTTAGTTTTCACACTATTAAAATGGAAATATTTTATTTCATGTTTGTGACTTCCAGGGATCTTTTTGTTTGCTTTAAAGTCTCCACAAAACAGTATTAAATTCAAATTATAAATTTGGATTAAATTGTAAACAGATTTGACAAAAGAAAAAAGAATCTAATACATTTTAATAAAAATATGTACTACTATGAGAAATCTGCACATCTTGCAATTTAACTTTTAAAGTCAGAGTTCTATATGACCTTTTTTTATATGAGATAAAAATAGCTCTTTTTCTGGTATTGGAACATCTTTAAAGCAACTTTGTAACTGTAGAGCCTCAAGCAGATCTTTTGTTAGAATATTGTGACTTAGATTACAAGTATAGCTATCTGTCTGAGCGCTAGTTCTGAATTTTTATGAACTTTCAGATGCTGGATTTCAATAATCAAAAAAATTGGTTTTGCCGTGTTATTTAATGGGAAAGTAGTACACTGCAGAAAAAGTTTCAGTAAAATTTTAGACAGGAACTGTTTGCATCCAGCAGTGGACTGATCATTAAGGCTCAGTTCTCAGTGAATCGCCGAAGTCAAGCATCACTGGTAGCAATCAGTGAGCGGGTGAGTGACCACTTTGATCAGCCTGTGAAGGGACGGAGGGTGCACAGTATTGGTCCTCCTTAAACTGTGCTATTGTACCGTGATCGATTGCATGTGCAAGTTATTGGGCAACCAAACCAGGGTGTGCCACCTCCTCTGCAGAGGAATTAAATTGTGTGATGGCATGTCCTCGGATCATCCTCTGGGATGTTTCCCAGACCGTCGCCAATAGCCCATTGTGAAGCTCTAGTGCAAAGTAAATAAATTACTACTCAATGGTTGAAAAGTTAAGTAGGTTGATAAATTTTTAAAGGTCATTTCCTTTTCACATATGTTAAATTCCATAAGAAAAGTAGAAATTTTATAATTAACTATAAATATTGCAATGTGATATTTAAGAGGTAAATTGTATTTTTCTAGTACATAAATGCAATTTTTTAGGTTTTTTAGAAGTAATGGTTTTATCTATGGTTAAAACTGCCAAAAAAATTGCCAACCCCTGTTTTTAATAAAAACCTTTTCTGAAATTTCAATGTTATTATAGAGCAATTATATTTTTAGAATGTGAATGTGATCCAATTGGTTCAACATCACCCCAGTGTGACCCAGCTGGACAGTGTCCTTGTAAACCAAATGTTGAAGGACGTAAATGTGAGCGTTGCAAAGAAAATACTCATAACAAAGCTGCTGGATGTGTTGGTAAGATCTATCTTTCCTATTTTGTATTTATATCTTTTTTTAAATCTTTATTTTTAAAAGTGTATATATATATAGTACAATAGATAAGATATTTTACCTGATATAAAAAATATTTAGTACAGTAAATAAATGTTTTTTTATTTGGATATAATGCATGAGAAACCTACAGTAACTGTGATTGAATTTAAAACATTTTGGTTACGCAGATACATATACCAACTCATTGTAAGCAGTTTTAATCAGCTATGCCGAGATGGATTTTTTTAACATTCATTATAGAAAATTAATGAAACACATTTTTAAATGACAAAATTAAAAGATTAAAAATACAGTAAATAAACTTAATCAAAATCAGTAAATTATGTTCTTAAATATAAGTTAAGAGAAATATTTTCTGTATCTTCATATTTTTAAAATAAATTTTAATTAAAATAATCTTAACAGTAATCATCCATAATTAAAAAAGATAATACCTTCCCTTCATATGAATTGTTGGTCTGAGGACATAAATATTTGATGGTAGTCAAAGTCAAATTTTAATGGTTTTGGACCATTAAAATTTTGAGCATTAAATTGAATTTTTTAAAAATTCTTTGTGTGTTTGTCCTGTTTTTTGCGAACTATAGGACAGCAATAAAGGAAAATAATAAAGTGAATTTAAATTAAAAATTATGATATAGGTTACAATTATGATGAAATATACTATTTTGTGACAAAAGTGCAGACTGAAAGATAAGACCCATAATAAAAAAAGATAATACTTTCCCTTCATATGAATTGTTGGTCTGAGGACATAAATATTTGATGGTAGTCAAAGTCAAATTTTAATGGTTTTGAACTATTTGGACCACTGAAATTTTGGGCCTCAAACTGAATTTTTAAAGAAATTCTTTGTGTGTCTGTCCTGTTTTCTGCGAACTTTAAGACGGCAACTTTCCTGTCTTTTTTTTTTAAAGAAAGAAATACAGTTTAACCTATGTTATTTAATAGAAGTGTAGTATATAAAGGGAAATTTCAGTACAATTTTTCCTAAGGGCTCAATGTCTTAAGGGTTAATACCATATTTTTAATTCCTTAAATAAATCTTTCAGACTGCCCTCCTTGCTACAATCTTGTTAAAGATGCTGCTGATGCTCATCGTGGAAAATTGGCTGAACTTCAAGAATTGCTGCAGGCATTACGAGATAATCCTCAATTGTTGAATGATGAAGAATTTGTAATGAAATTGGCAAAAGTGCAAGAAAAAGTTAATAATTTATTAGAAGAAGCTTTAGGCTCTACCGGTTTGTATTATCTCTTGATTTTTATTTACCTAAATTTATTTTGATATTCATATTGTATAAATAATTTCTTAGTTTATCATAATTTTTGTTAAATCATCATTTGATAATTATTGAGATAAGATTAAATGCATTATTTCTTTGAAGATAATATGAAACATATTTTCTTTGAAGATAATATGAAACATATTTCCTAATATGAAACATATTTTCTTATACTACTAGCTTGTTAATAAGTATCTCTAGGGAGTTTTTCATTAGAGTCAATGATTATAAACAGTTACATACAAAAAGAATTATCTATCTTTTATAGTCTTACGGCAAAAAAAAATTACCTTAGATAACGTTACGTAACATAACATTCAGATAAAAATATGACCATTAAGATGATATAGATGAAAAAAAGGCCAATAATTTTTATATTTAATGACTGTTGGTAAAATAAAAGTATAAAATATTATGGACATTTTTGTTCTCCATATTTACCTCTCTATTTGTCTATATTTATATATCTTCAATTTATATATATATTACAATTACATATGATGAAATACTACTAAGCAATTGACTAATTGTTTAGTAGTATTTCATTATATGTAATTGTAAAATATATATGTTGAAAACTTATATATGTTGAGTACTGTTGAGCACTAATTGTTTTAGTATTTAACAGAGCAGTGGTATACTAATAATTAGAGTAAAAAAAGAATTTCAAATAATTAAGCTACCTCTGAAAGCTGGCTGACAGATCTTATACATACAGAAAATTATGGTAAAGCATTCCTTCAACAGGCTATTGTTAGCCAGTGGAATTATGGAGATTATGTCCTTAAATTTTGTGACCAACAATCTGATGAAGGCATGGTAGTCAGTGCATACTTGCCACCTTTACTTCCCAAACAAGCTGGTACCCACTGATCTAAAGCTGAGTGAGCTTTTGGCCACCACTGGGGATTGAGTCCCACTTTCATCATCATAATCATAGTTAGCCAGACAGCCCAATGTAAACCAATGCCTTCCTCTGAAGATTTCTCCATGACGACTTCCGATTTATCTTTGATCTTCCATTCTTTTCATGAAATGTGAGAAAATTAGACTCCACTGAGTCAGCTCATCTCAACCGCGGCCTTCCCCGCTTTCTTGTTCCAGTGGGTCTAAAAAGCAGTATCTTTTTTATTGTATTGTCATCACTCATTCGAATCACGTGGGCCATCCAATTCATTCTATTTATTTTTATGTATTTAATAATATCAGGTGAGTTCCACTTAATCACTGACCCTTTGCAACACCTTACATATATGTTTTAATTGTTGATTTATTATACTGGGTAAAACAATTTATTTAATGTTGCATAAATGTTGTTACCTGTAAGAAATTTTCCTCTATGATGTTGCTAGCTGGCCGCTATGAACACTAATTAAATACATAAAGGTTTTCTTTGTAACAATTTTTAGCGCATCAAAACATTTGTAGCTAAAATTTCAAGCTTACATTAGCTTCTATGAAAAACACGTGTAATAATCTTCATCAAAACTTAACTTTAATTTAATTTTTCAATAACTTAATAATCTTCCTTTATTTCTGACAATTTAAAAAAAGAAGTGAAATTATATTGTGTATTTGAACTTAATATTAATTTGGTTTGCTGTTCTTTTAATTGAGGGAGTCTGTCAACAATTTTATTCTCTAGAGCTGGATGGCCAGGTTGGAAATAAACTGAAAGACCTTCGAAATAGATTGGAAGATGTGAATAAAACAGCTGGTGTGATTGCTAATAAGATAATCGATGCCAAAGAAATTGGAGGTTCTGGTGAAAGAAATATATCGATGGCTGAAGACATCATCAAAAGTGCACATGATGCTCTCATCAGTGCCAGAAAATACCTAGAAACTGAAGGAATATCCGCATTAGAAAAAGCTATTGAAAGATCTGAAAAATTTGGTCAGCAGTCTGAAAGAATGTCTGAAATTGCAAGAGAAGCCAGGCACCTTGCTGACGAGTAATTATTTCCTTTTTCTTATCGTTATTGTAACCTTTTATTCAGCACTCTTCTAGATCAGAGGCTCCTAATCTGTAATACGAGTACACTCCTGGGGTTTTGGGAAATGCATACGCTCCAACTTATGAGGATTTTGAAAATAATTCTTTCTAGTGGTAGCGAACCAAAGTAGAAATTTTTAAAGCAAATGGATCTCTCATAAAACTTTTATCAGAACTTAAGAATCTAGCCATATGGCCTGCACTTTTATAAGTAATAGTGGACAAGT